GTGTAAAGAGTGATCCTATCAAGTGGATGTGTCACTTATAATGGACAGCTTTTCCCCCAGGAATAGAAATCCCCTGTCACTCATAAGAATCTCACTATACAACATGGCATTCTTTCTTTATTGGTGGTTCAGTGTGCCTTTCACCTTCTTGTTTACCTTAAGTGTTATAGTTTTCAGTTAAACCTGATGATATGACTAATGAGGCCTGCCCCCTTCTTGACCTGCCACAATGGGAAATGAGAATGTTAGGAATAGCATAGTGCATGGGGGTATGCAGACAGATGCCCTGGTCTTCCATGATGTCTTAAAATCCTCAGGAAAGTCCCACAAGTCTCAGACTACTGCTGAATTAGGTACTCTGGTCTCTGCTCACCCTGCAGGGATCTTGCCAACATGTAATCAGTTAATGTAGTCCAAATGCTGTCCTTCCTGTGGGTTTTTTCTTGGAAGGCCAGTAGTACAGCCTGGAGATTCTAAGCACCAGTATATTGATGGCTCTTGTTAGAGAGCTCTCTGGTAATGTAGACTGCCTGTGATCTTCTTTTCATGTAAGGGAAACAGAACAGATGGAAACACTTGTTCTCCTGGTCTTATCGGAGATCTGCTTGGCAAATGAGAACAGATGGCAAAGACTGCTGTGGAGTGAAGAATCGCACACATCTCTTGGATTTATTTAACTAAATTCTCATCTTTTATTAAACAAAGAAAATGTTTCCGATGAGTGACAGCTAGAAAATCACTAGTCATTATCTATCCAAAAAGTTCACTCTTCTCTTAGCTGCTCTTCTCTAGACTGATTAACAAAAGACAGGTCCAGGCTACCCCCCAGGTTACAACAATGTGGAATCCCCGTCTCTAGTCAGACAAACTGCTAGTAGCCAGGACACGTGAACACTTGTGGAGGAATTCATCCCTGGTGCATTGATCTGGCCCTTTGTAAAATGACTCTCTGATGATAAAAAAGATCCTAAAAATGACAAATGTTTGGCTTAGAAGCCAGCCCCTTTGTATAGGTTCAGCATTTTATATGGGAACCTCTTTGAGGCAGGGACTGTTTCTATATAGTGTCTTGTACGATGGACTCTTGATTGAGTCTCCAGAAGCACTGTAATAGGAGTACTAAACAATCACTATTAGGAGTATTAAATAACACAGCAATAATGTTACATTGTATATTAAATATAGGTATGTACAGCCAATGAGCAACAGCAGTATGAGTGGTTTTGGTTTTGTATTTATTTCTCTTATCTCTGTGAAATGGGAAAGTGATCTATTCCAGAGGAAAGAAGTCCTCTAAATGCATATCAGTTGCTAGAGCTAGACTTAACTTTAACCAAATTTGATGACTGTGTAGATCCTGAGCATCCCCATCTGTAAATGTACTTTGCTGTGAATACCTGGGAACACTGATGCCCTGAAAAACCTAGGTTATTGGACAGAGCGTTTACACCAGAAAATAGCATTTTAATTCTGTGCCCTGCAAAGTCCTGGCTGGACAACACAATGACCTGCTACGTAAGTGATGATAACAGGCATTCAGTCAGAATGATCTTATCGCTGTATTACCCGCAATAGTCACAAAGCAGTTACCAAAGCAGACCACTCCTAGTGTCTACTGATCCTGAGCACTGCATTTAATAAAGGGTTTGGTAAACTTTTATCTTAAAGAAATAAAACAAAGCAGTCACCAAACCCAAGTAACAGCCTTTCCCTTTAGCTAGGCATTTGGAAAGGTTTCTCAAGACTTCCAGTATAACTTCGTTCAACCACTGCCTACTTCTTCTAAGTAATGCATTTTTGCAGCTCCCTCAAATAGTTGCATGAAGCCTGTTACACAGAAAAACGTGCAGCCACATTGTATTGACTATGGAGGTTAAAAATGAGGTTAGCAACTGTAGAGCCTGATTCAGAACAAACTTATATACCTGCTGGTGTTCTGTTGACCTTAATAGAAATTAAATGTATACTTATATCCTGCCTGAGTAGGGGTACTTACTTGAACTACGGCACATAAGAACTCAAGTATCCTGTATTTATCCAACCCATCTGTAATATCATAATAACAGCTGATGGTTTCAGCCTTTTAGCCTCCCTGTCTTTCCCCAGAGAGACTCATCTACTTTTCTCTTCTGTTTGTTTACAACGCAGATCTCATCAAATACTTCACAGTTGGCCAGTCCTGAGTCAGGGAAGCACTGTGGGAAGTCAGCGCTCTTCCAGTTGGCAGAGGTAAGGATCCAGTTGTCATTAGGGTGTGCATATACTTGCATATTATTCAAAAAGTACCAGTTACACAGGTTAGTCTAGTGCCCGTCAGTTTCAGAAACAAGAAAAAAAAACTGCCAAATAGTAACACAGATAATAAATGTTGCCAGTAGAGGCCCCTGAGGCATACATGCGTGGTAAATGTAGAGCATAATGAAAAGGTAATATTCCTTCCCCCAAAAAACTAATTGCATAACCCAGACAAAAATAATGCTCATAGAGTAACTATGGGAAGAAAAAATATGGGTCATTTGTGAGTAAGTATAGAGGCCCTGATACGAGAAAACACGTTAACACTTGTTTAAATTGCATCGTCGAAACATGGAAAATGCTTTCCTGAACTGGGGCCCAGCATTGGAAATTGGGGGGAAGGGGTACGTGTAGCATGTGGAAGGCTACCAACTTGTATGCTAATTTTGAAGATAAAATGTAAACATAGATCAGTAAACGGCAGTGGCTTGTAAGCTAGCGAGTAGAGTGCCTACTAGAGTGATCATAGTTAAGTGAAGCTAGCCAGCTGTAGGAGAATGTGAACTTTCATAGTTTCATAGTTGGTACGGTTGAAAGGGACCTGAGCAGATCATCAAGTTCGACCCCCTGCCATGGCAGGAAAATGTACTGGGGTCAAATGACCCCAGCAAGGTGTTCATCTAACCTCCTCTTAAAGATCCCCAGGGTAGGAGCCAGCACCATTTTTCCAGGTCTTAGCCACCCTGACTGTGAAGTAGTGCCTCTTGATGTCTAGTCTGAATCTACCCTCTGCCAGCTTGTGACCGTTATTTCTAGTCACTCCTGGGAGTGCTCGGGGGAACAGGGACTCCCCCAATGCCTACTGGTCCCGTCTGACTAGTTTGTAAATGGCCACTAGATCCCCCCTCAGCTTTCTCTTGTGAAGGCTGAACAGGTTCAGGTCCCTTAGCCTCTCCTCGTAGGGCCTGCCCTGCTGGCTCCTGATCATGCGAGTCGCCCCCCCCGAACCCTCTCAATACTGTCCACATCCCTCCTGAAGTGCGGCGCCCAGAACTGAACACAGTACTCCAACTGAGGCCTGACCAGTGCCGCATAGAGGAGGAGGATCACCTCCTTGGACCTGCTTGAGATGCATCTGTGGATGCATGACAAGGTGTGGTTGGCCTTCCTGACCGTGTCCCCACACTGTCGGCCCATGTTCATTTTGGCATCAATAGTGACTCCAAGATCCTTTTCTGCCTCTGAACTGACAAGAAGGGAGTTCCCCAGCCTGTAGGTATGCTGCTGGTTCTTCCTCCCCAGGTGCAGCACCTTGCACTTGTCAGTGTTGAAACCCATCCTGTTCTCATCCTCCCACCCCTGTAACCTGTCTAGGTCCAACTGCAGCCTATTCCTCTCTTCTAGCGTGCCCACATCCCCCCACATCTTAGTGTCGTCAGCAAATTTGAATAGGGTGTTTTTTACTGCCTCCAAGTCGCTGATGAAGATGTTGAACAGTGCAGGTCTGAGGACTGAGCCCTGGGGGACCCCACTGCCCACATCCCTCCAGGTCAAAAATGACCCATCCACCACCACCACTCTCTGGGTGCGGCCCTCCAGCCAGTTAGCGACCCATTTGACTGTACGACCCATTTGATTGTGTGTGGACCCAAAGATCAAGCTAATCGTAGTAAAACTGCATGAAGCAAAGGAAGGTGCTACTTCGTCAGGCAGCACTGTGCGTGTGATTTGAACTTTCTACCACTTTGAAAATAGCCAGCCTGATTCCACCAGCACAGTTCTGGAATTATGCTGCTGCCAAATCTGTTCTGAGGTTTGCACATCATTATTAGGCACAGATCTAATGCTACAGAGATGTTTTATAAGGGAACACCTAGTCATAGGAAAGCCCACATGTTTGGCCACAGGAGCACAGCTTTGTTCCACAACTTGAAAGAAAGGATGAAGCTGAGTTTGCTAGAGAGGCATATAGCTCTTTAAATCCACATTGTTGATCTTTCCTACGGTGGTTATTCAAATCAATACATGCAAGTCTAATTTAATCTACAAAATGAATGTAAAGTTTCTCAAGTCAGCTCACAAGAATGTGGCAAACACTCTGAAGGCATCATTCTGTGTTTAAGTAGTGCAGCACATTAATGCCCGTAGTCCTTTTGTTTTTGATATCTCTGCAATGCGTGCTCATAATTGAATGCAGAAAATATGAGCAATTTGGCTTAACTTTTGAGTTTCTTAACTTTTTAAATTAGCACTGGATGAGCAGTTCAAGGCATTAATTTGAAGCATCCCCAATAAGCTGTGTTGATATCCCCTGGAGTGAATCCCAGCATTGCAAGCTCAGCTGGCAGACATCTGTGTTGTGCCATTGTAACTCAAATCATTTTGTCGTATGCTCTAGAGAAGAGCAGACTTATTTGTGTCCCCCACTGTCAGCACAGAGTCCTGGGCTGAGAGAGAGCATCACCGAAGTCCAAGGAGGAATTCAGTTTCACTGTAACTGACTTTCTTTGTTTGTCCCCTTTTATTTTTATGGATCTTAATCAACCATTCAACTTCACTTTCAAGCTTTAAAAAAAAAAAAATTCCTCGTGGCATTTTTCTGTGAGGACCAAAAGTACACTTCAGATGTGGATTAAACCAAATGTGTGGCATTTCACTGGAGTCAGTTCAGTGATGCTGGTTTTACTACAGATCATTGATAGCCCTGGAAAGAGTACATGGGCAATACAGGCCCGAAAACTGACAATTTAGCGCACAGTTCAGGTCCATTGTTCAATGTGTCTCAGTGATTTGGGAACTGAGTAAAAGGATATAGGCTTCTCAGGGATGACAGCCTCCTTCAAAGAAGCACTTTTGGTCTGTCTGTCCATCTCTCTCCCCTTTAGGGCAGCAGTGTAGTAGATTCTGTGAAGTTATATTCATATAAATTGAACAAATAAATAAATAAATGTTTCTAGTCAGATTAGGAGGAGGGGACTGAATGAATAAAAAAACTGCCTGGGAGTAGAAGAGCTTATCATAAAATTTAGACCCCCAATCTCTGAAGGTATAAATCCCATCACTATCCGTAGACTGGGAGTAAAGCCCGAGTAGCCATGTACAAGCCCTTGGGGCATAAAACCAATTATTGCTCAGGTCCTTGGATTAGTGGGAAGTGGGATGTACCATGGGTTGGATACACATGTTTAAATAATCTGGGAGAATTTTCTCAAGATTTTTCTCCTGATAGAAAAAAATACCCAGCACATCATATATAGATATTTAACCCTAGTTGTTCCCAGGTTATTTTTCCTTTGGAGGGGCCATTTTTACTCTGGGAGAAAAAAAACAAACATCTGTACATCTGTGGTCTCCTGGGTGAACAGTGACCCTCCCAGGAAAAACTGAATGTCTATACAAGGCCTTAGTTGCCTTTTTCAATACTTTTCACTAGGGCTATTTCACTACTTTTCACTATTGCCTGAAGCAACACGGAGGATTCAAAGTAAAACTGATTCAAAGTAAAATGTGGACTTTGAAAACAGTTTAGGTCAGGTGTTTCGTTGGCATAATCTGCCGCTGCCTCTTTGGTTCCATTAGAATCAAATTACAAAGGCAAGGAAACTTGTCCTTTATTTCAGTCTTCTGTGAAAAGAAACCATGATTAATAAAAACCCAGAAACCAAAAGTAACTCTTATTGTCATTGCTGTGCCACTGACTGCAAAGGTGCAAGTTTGCAGAATTCTCCTCTTTATAAATAACAGAGACAACCTTTGTATGAGTCATCGTTCTGCACTTTTTTCTTTCTCAATATTTAACTTTCCACATGCGTCTTGGAAAGGGGGAGGAGATAATCCTTTTTATAATCTTACGTTCAACATGCAGGAACCATGTATTGGTAAAATAATGGGTTTTTTCACCCACCTTTGTTTCTGCTTTAGATTTCCTCAAGTACCTCCCATTCAGGCCCTTCTGACTTAAAGCAATGTGGAACATCAGCGTTGTTTCAGTTGGCAGAGGTAATATTAAAATACTGGTGATTAATTACCACTGGTGCAGTGGGGAGGAAAAGCTAATGATGCTGATTGCCAGAGTCTGGAAGGCAGAACAGTAGCACAGTCATAATTACATTGTTGTTTATAGAAGCATAAATTATCACTTGGGTGCAAAGAGTCAAGATTTCCCTAGACTAGCCATTAAGGCATAGGCTCTCACTGCTTCTGAGTTAACAGATAAGAAGTCCAAATCCCTGATGACGAGGATTTTCTGATTTATATTAAAACCATTTTTGGGGTTTTTTTTACCTTTCTTTTTTTTTGAATTACTGTTTTATTCAGATTAGAGCATTGTCATTGCAAACCTGTTTTAAAGTCATTAGTCACTTTCATTTATTTCCACTCTTCATGCAAATTGTTGTATCAGGGAGGAATGAATAACTCTGATTTCTAGAGGAGTTCTGTTATGATAACCTGCAGTTGACAACTGACTATCCTTTTGGGAGTAGCTAAAATGAATGGCCCTTCATAGAAACATTTATTTCTCTTGTCCCTAAATTTTTCTAAGCTTTCCAAATGAAAAAGTCCACGTTACACATTCATTTAGATCTGACAGCGTCTAAACCCCTTTTCATAACTGTGCCTCCTACAACAATCTAGGGCCTTCTCTACTAGTTTTTAGAAAAAGAATGAAATATACATAGCAGAAGTAGGAGAACTATGACAGAACATTTATGTTCCATAAACAGGATGTTTTGTAGAGACAAGGTTGAGGTTTTCCAGGCTACCTTTGGGATTTGGAAAATCCCAGAACACATCTACCCTAGACCTAGTAGCATAGAGTAGATACTGAGCAAGCCTGAAGCACAGTGTAAGAGGGCAGTTTGTGAAACCTTGTAGTTACTGTCTCCCTTACTACAGCTCTTCTGTGGACAGAATGAGGAAATTTGCTCCACTATGGGCAGAGTTCGAATTACACTGATTCTTGGGGGGGGTCTGCAAACAAAATTGGAGTCGCCCGTAGTGCGAACTCTGACTATGGGTATCACCCAGAAACATGGTCTCCAAGGTTGTAATGTAATACTGTGTTTGAACAGGTGTGTGACTGGGAGGGCTTTCCTGTGTTGTTGAAAAGAGATATAAAACTTGAGAAGGTTTTTTGCAGCTGGGGGGTTTGTTTTGTTTTTAGTTTGGCTTTGCAAATCAAATAAATAGAAAGCAATCCTAATATCTAGAGTTAGTTAAATTATTCTTCTTTTACTGGCCTCTGAAAATGAGGACCAGAATTGTATCTATGGACTTGGGATTCTTGGGGGAAGTTGGAGGGTGGTTGAGTGCTTGTGTTACGTAACTTATTGGCAGTGAGTTACAGAATGGTACCAATGTAGTTTGGGTAGTGTCTGTGCTGTGCTTTTCAAATTGTACAAAGGGAACATAGGACCTCCTTCTGAGGCCTCTGAAATCAATTGGAGTCTGTCCATTAGACTGCTAAAACATATAGGCCTCAATTCAGCACTTGTGTACATATATATAATGTATTTACATGCATCCTGAAAAAGGGTTTGCTTTCCAAAATCAGAGTGTTTTGATAAATGCCTCTTTCTAACATTTCTGTGAATCTAGGTAATTAAATGTGATAATTGGAATATTTGAATGGTAGTGACTGTTTGTGTATTTAAACTTTAGATGTGCCTTGCTACAGAGGCGGTAAATGTGAAAGATCCCGAGAAGGTGAAAATGGAGACATCTGAGGATGTGAAAGTAGAAGCCCCAGAGGAAATGGCAGTGGAAGACCTGGAGAAGGCAAAAATAAAAGACTTGTGTAAAGTAAAAGCAGAAGAATGTGAAATGGTGAAAATGAAAGATCAGGAAGAGACAAAAAATGAGGAGTCTGAGGTTACAAAATGTAGTCGTTTTACTGATCCTGCAATGGACAGCAGTAACTTGGAGGGATATGATGGCACAAATGCAAAAGATCACTCATGCTGTTCTCAAGAGCTTTCCCTTGCTGAAATTAACATGCTAGGGCTGACCAAACCAGAAAAGATGAAGAAGAAAAAGAAAAAAAATAAGATGGACCGACACACCAATGAAAAATCCACCCCCAAGAAAGCTTGTAAAAAGAGACAGTCTTCTGAATCAGACATTGAAAGTGTAATTTATACTATTGAAGCAGTTGCGAAGGGCGACTGGGGAGCTGAGAGACTTGTTGAAATTCCCCGCAAAAAAGTCCGCCCTGCCTCAAACGTGAAGGGAAGCTTATTGGACACAAAGTCACCAAAGAAAAAAGTGAAATCAAAAGAGAAGAAAACATCAAAAGAAAAACCCATGGAGACTACCAAAGAATCAAAGCCTCCTGATTTTCTTAGTATTACAGCCAACAAGGAGGTGCCTTGTGATGAGGTACCTGACAACATAAAAGTGGAACCATTAACTCCAACAGAAGAGGTGGTACCACAAAGCTTACCAGGACAGGTCAAAACTGAGGACAGTGACTGTGTTAAAAAGATAGAAACCTGTGGCTCCAGGAAATCAGAGAGATCGTGCAAAGGTGCTCTTTATAAAACTCTGGTGTCAGAGGGCATGCTCACATCCCTGCGTGCCAACGTGGACAGAGGTAGGAGATGCATTTATTTACAGTATGAGGATCTGGAGCAGCCTTCCCACTCATTTTTAAAAAGGAGCTTGATAAGTTTATGAACAGAATTAAATGATGGTATGGTTGCCTGGAAGGCCCTTGCCAGTCCTGTCACCTGCATTTCTGTACAAATCAGAAACCATTAAGTAGACTGAAAACATCTTATGTTTGCCTTCTGTAAATCACAGGCTGATTCATGACCACAAGTTTATAATGCGACCAGCAACTTATTTGGTTCAGTTAATACATATACTATACTTACCGTTAATGCGTCTCGGAAAAAAATAATCTTTAAAGCATGTTTCACTATAGAAATGGTTAATCTGCTGGGACATGTGGCCCAGGGCTTGAATTTTTTCCATAACACTGACCCCTGCCTCAGGAGCATTAGTTTTCTGTATGAAACAGCTCTTGGTAGTAATGGTTATGAATCCAGTTCTCATTCCTAGAAGGGACAGTTTGATTTTTCTGATATATATATTCCTGTCCCCAAATAATAAACACAATAACAGTAATAGAAACAGGGGTTATAAATAATGTAAGATTCATTCCTTCTAGACAGGAACATGATCTGCTTGGGTACAAGTTTGCATATCTGTCATTTTTCAAGTTTCCAAACTGCATCTCTGATGCCCAGCACAAGAAACCCCATTTGAGTAGAAGGTTATGTTTGAGTCTTAAAAGCATGATGTATCATCAGAAGGGTACATATATAGGCATTTTTCAATCGGCAAATATAAACCAATAATCTGAACAGCCAAATGAAGAAGAAAAACACCTCAGGTTTATGTTTGTTTTGTTAGTTTTAAATATACAACACCCTTTTCTTCTTTGTCTACCTACTTAGAAGTCCTATAGGTTAGCAGAAGGTTCCCAAAATGGACATCTTCTGAGGGAGTAAGTGCTGGATAAATCAAGTTGCTAGTAAGCAATCTTGTTATCTTAAGCTAGCACTGGTTCCTTTCAGAAGAATATGGAAACTTAATCAATAGATATTTCACTATTCAATGGGTATACAGTCTTCTTGTGAGCCCCTGCACTGTGACTCATTTTCTATGAGGAAAATCAAAATCCCTCTTCCTACTTTCTAGGCAAACGAAGCTCAGGAAAAGGCAACTCCTCGGATCACGAAGGATGCTGGAATGAAGAAAATTGGGCATTTTCCCAAAGTGGGACAAGTGGGAACAAGAAACTGAAAAGGTCTAGGCCAAAAGAAGAATTCATTTTGGGGTAAGCTGATGTAACTTACGTGAAAAAAGATTTTCACAAACGGGATTTGTTTCCAGTCTGTTTTAGGGCCAGGGGGATAGATTTGGCAGTTGGGCAGCTCTGGATAATTGTGTACATTTTGCTAGGAAACAGCATGACCAGGAGCCAGATGCTTCTGAGTCAAGGTCTTCACTCGCATTCAGCTATCTTTGACTAGCAATTTTCCAAATGGCCTCTGAACTTTCCAAACTTCCAATATTCTGGGCCTGTTAAAGGGCATAGAGCTCTCACAACTGTAGTTGTTGTCAGTGGGAGCTGTGGAGTACCCAGCAGCTTAGGAAGTGAGGCCCCACGTCTCAAACCAGATATTTAGAGAGAGAGAGCACTTCCAAAAATCTCAGCCATTGTCTTTTTGAGCCTTGTCCTGCTTCCTTGTTAATTTTAAAGTAATGCAATTCCATTGAAATTTGCTTACCATTTACTCTGGTATAAACAAATGATTTTGTTTTAAACTGGATGATGATTATTATTATTTCCCTATTTCTAAAATGGATACAATATCTGCTAGTAAGGAGGGGGCCTGCAAGTGAGTTTAGAAACTAAATTTAAAATTCTGTGCAGGTTTTAAACCGTAACATCCATAAAGCACCAGACTGGTAGATGGTGGCAGTGTTTGCTCCCCTCAAAAAGAGATTATTCTGCAAGGCTCCTCTCTTTTTTTCCCCCCTTTTAAGCAGTGTTCTAACACTGTCAAGCAAATAATTTTGCAATTATAGAGGTAAATACATAAAATAAAAAGGAAGAGAGGATAAGGCAATGGAATAAATCAGAAAAAGTAATAGTTTGGTTTTAATGCATTTACAAAGGTACCCAGAAGTGGCACTCATGAATAGCAATTCCTCTCATAGTATTAACAGATTTATATAACTTCAGGGATAGTGGTAAAAAAATCTGCTTAATCATTCATACTTTTTTGCAAATCCTTGGAGATTTCTAATTGTCTGAGTTCAGGGTGGGGAAATTGAATAAAAAAGGAGTAGATTTTCTCAGTGCTTTAGGCTTAAAGTTGTAATGGGCTTCTTTTGTATAGTCTTTTCCATTGTCTGGAGTATCTGAAATTTAGTTTAAACCTACTTTATTACAACAATATTAACTTATTTTAAATCTCCAAATGTTCTTTGTCTCTGGAATAGTCCCAACAAACCCAACAAATTAAACACTGCACTTCTCTTGTTTTCAGTATTCTGTGTTCTATTCAGAGATACAGAGATTTTACAGCTATGTTCTATCAAAAGCCTTCAAAGTATTTCCACTTTTTAAAATAAATTTAACATGTGGATCAGCTAATCTCATGAAAATTGGGAGTGTCGCATCTCCTCAGTTCACTTAAAAACATAGATGCAAACTATTTATTCCAAGTTGCTAGACAAAAAATTGCAAATGTAATTGTCATGTACATCTATTTGGATAATGATGACATGTTTGGTAATAATTATCTCCTGATTCAGCAGGGTAATTCACAAATAGTTTTCAACAAACTTTACTTGAACTAATAGTGACTTCTATCATATATCTTTGGAATAATAAAAACATTCCTTCCATAGGCAGGCAAAAGAGTCGCCATGAGACGAAAAACAGGTGTAATGATCACTGTTCCACTCTGAACATCAGAAGATCAGATACCTAACAAAATATATAAAATGATTACAGGGCCAAGTAAAATGAGATCCATTTGAGAGTTTTGCTACACATAATGATGCTTCATTTTAAGAGCAGTTTCAAAGAACCCTGAAAAACACGCAATTTTTGGTGTTTCTTTGCCCTCTTCCTTAATCTCTTTATCATTCTACTTCACATAACAGATTGATTATGATGATCAGAAACAGCGGTTGAATATAGAGGTGCATCAGTATTATCAGTCCATATTGTATTGGCACCGATAAAAGAAAAATTGACAGTATTAGCAATTGACTCTTTTTTTTTGGCCAATGTGGCTGATTAATGTCACCAGTAAATGCTGTGTGTATGCGCACAGCCGCAGAATGCACATGGCCAGGAATCATTTCGGGCAGTTTGGAGAGCAGCATCCAGCTGGTAAATCTGTGGTGGGGAAGGGGCATGAGGTGGGGGCAGATCAAGGCTCCCACAGTAAGGGAGGCCATGGGGTTGGGGCAGGGATGGGTGCTGCTCAGTTAGGGAGGAGCTACGAGTAACTTTTTGGGTGGTGGGGGGCGGCTCCTGCCACTACACGCACTCCGGTGGCAGCAGGGGGGGAAGGGCCCCCCCAGATGTGTTTTGCAGAGCAAGGGCAGGCTGCCCACGGCAGGCTCAGGGCTGGGGGTGCACCAGCCTCTTCCCAGCAGGAGAGCTGAGCCGCCCACCCACCCTGAGCACAGCCCTGGCACAGCCCCTCACTGGGAAGGAGCTGGCCCAGCCCCTGGCCTCAAGTCCACAGTGGGCAGCCTGCCCTCGCCCCACACACAAATCCAGGGGACATATGCTCCCTGTGCCTCCTCATGCCCTGCTTGACCCTGGCTGGGCAACGCCTGCCTCAGCCCCATGCTTTCCTGCAACACGGAGGCCTCAATCTCTCCCCTTTCTTCCTTCCCCGCCCCTTCCCTCCCACACACTTACTGGTGGGACACTGCTCTCCAAGCTGCCGGACTGCATATCAGCAATCGGATCAGTATCAGCTGACATGACTGGTTAATAATCAGCCATCAGTATCAGACAAAGAAATCCTTATCCGTGTACCCCTGGTTGAATATCTTGACACCTATACAAAAATAAATCTAGTTACAAGTATTGAAGCTGTACTGAACTCTAGTACCCATCCCAGAAAAAATTTTAACTCTACCTATCTGAACCCCTGAACTCTTCTTCCTTTAGCTTAGCAAAGCTTGAAGAAGAATTTGAAAAGAAATTCAACAGCCTCCCTCAATACAGTCCAGTTACATTTGACCGGAAAAGTGTATCTGTTCCAAGGAAAAAGAAGAAGGTTGGAAGCTGCTCAGCAGAACAACCAAAATCCAACAAAGGTAAGATGTTTCTGTGTTTATATTCAGTAACTGTTGCTGTGTGCCCATCACAGAAGTTGTTCCATTTTTACCTCCTTATATACAATTACAGGTGAGGCATATGAAGTCAAAATAGCTCTCTTCACAGGCACAAAGTTGGCTTATATCACTTTTCAGTGTTCACTATTGTTTTCTGTTTGAAGAATTCACCTGGAAAGTTATGTATGCTGCATTTCTGCAATCTTGGCTGCTTTTAATACCAGTACTGAATAGAACTGACAGAGAAATATTTGGCAAAAGGTTTTTCATTAAAAAAACATGGATTCATTGAAATAGGCAGTTTCCATGATCGGTTTCTATTTCAACAAATTTTCCTGTTTACAAGATTTCATTTATTAAACAAAGCTAAAAACACCTTTAGTTTTAATATCAGTTAATTTTTTCATAAATAAGTCTGAAAATTAAATATTTCATAATTATTCCAATGAAGAATTTCATTTGACCTGATCCTTTTTTGGTTTTACATTTGCAAAAGTTTTTTGAAATTTTTATAATTTATTACAAATTCAGTGTTGAATTTTTGAGTTCTTGAAATCCTGAATATATTCTAGGGATGTGAAAGCTGTTTCCTGGCCAGCTTTATACTGAGTCTCTCATGAACCAAAACTACAGTTGTCATATCCTTGTACACTGTATATCTGTGGGAACATCTCTTCTACAGGCAGCCTCTGAGTCTAGTGTTAATACTGATGCATAAGTAGAAACATTAAATAGGATCAGAAAGTAGATCATAAAGGGACCTCAGGAGGACATCTAGTCCAGCCCTTTACTCAGGGCAGGAACATCTCTGCCTACATACACACATTCACATAATCTGGGAGAATTTTTCCAGGTTCATTCTCTGGGTAGAGAAACTTACACAGAGCTGTGTACACAAACATTTGAATACTGAGGCCCTGAAGATTGGAGAGCTTGTAGTGCCACTGTTGTAGATTGGAGGAGGGGGCCTCTGCACACATCTCGGCATGCTCTGCATTACTGTGCCTGGTGACAGATGACAGTAGTGCATAGGGCAGCCGATATTGGCTGATTTAGACTGCCCGTGATCAACATCTGAATGCCTGCATCCCGATTATTGAGTTTGTCAGGGGAAGCATGTTCTGCTCTCTGAAGCAGCGGAGGTCCAGCAAGCGACACAGTGTCTCCCTGGGGTGTGGGCAGATGCTGGAGGATTACACTCTTTTCTAAGAGAAGCCACAGCATGTACAGATGTGCACTCTCCCAAGAGAAATTCTCCTGAAAGTGATTTAACCCTGGATTTTCCCAGGTGTTTTTTCTCCTGAAGGGACCATTTTTTACTCTGGGAGAAAAAGGCTGAACATCTGTATACTTGTAGCTTCTCCTGGGAGAGCAGCAGTTCTTGCAGGACTCTGTTTGAGTCCTCAACATAAACCATCTCAGCCAAAGGTTTGTCTAACCTGCTCTTAAAAATAATTTCCAGTTATGGGGATGCCACGCCCTCGCTATGTGGCCTTCCGGTGCTTAACTACTCTGATAGTTAGAAAGCTTTCCCTAATGTCCAACCTGAATTTCCTTTCTTGCAACTTCAGACGACTGTTTCTTGCCCTGTCATTTGCAGTTACAGAATCACCATTCTTTTTATATCCACTTCCCTTGTATTTAGAGACTGTTCTCAAATTTCCTGTCTTGTCTCCAGACTAAGTAAGCCCAATTCTTCAAAAGTTTCCTCATGAAAAGGAGTGATTTACCAGTAAGTCTGTTGTTCTGATGGGCTTAGGCAATAAGATGTTGATAACAGAAGAAATGTAAATAACTTTTCATCAGCTGTCGGGTAGAGGTGCACTGATATATCATTCCCATATTGGATTGCCACTGATATAAAGAAAATTGACTATTGGCAGTCGGCTTTTTTAGACTGATGTAGCTGATGATGCCGCTGATAAATGCCCTGTATATGCGCAGCTGCAGCACAGCACGCAGGCAGCCAGGAGCACAGCCCAGTAGTGTGGAGAGCAGCCAAGTGTGGCTAATAAGTCTGTGAGGGAAGGGACATGGAGGGGAGGGCAGATTGAGGCTCCAGCGGTGAGGGAGGGAGTGGGGCTGGGGCAAGGGCAAGAGCTGCGCGGCCGGGGTGGGGCGTGGGACAGAGTCATGAGCAGCTCATCGGCAGGGGGATGGTGGCTCTCACTGCTACACGCACCCCGGGAGGGCCTGGAGGGGCACGTGCCCCCAGATCTGTTCACAGGGCAAGAGCACGCTGCACCTGCAGGCTGGGGCTTGGGGGGGGGCGGCTACACCAAATTTTGGCAGTGGCTGCAGCCCACCTGTAGCCCCCTCCCAGTGCTGTCACTTCCCCCCCCCAGTGTAGCCCCAGCCCCCAACTGGGAAGAGCCTGGCGTCACCCTGGCCCCAGCCCATAGTGACAGCCCACCCTGCCCCATGCACAGATCCAGGGGCACACGCCCCCCATACTTTCCCGGGGTGTGCACAGCGGTGGGAGCTGCCCCTTCCCCCCCCCCCAAACCAGTCACTCAAGGCTCTGTCCCCTGCTTCGCCCCAGCTGTGCAGCGCCTGCCCCAGCCCCACTTCCTCCCTTACCGCAGGTGCCTCGATCTCTCTCCCCACGCCCCTTCCCCTACAACAGACTTACCAGCTGGACACCGC